GGCCCGCCCAGCCCTTCGCCGCGGCCCTGCTCGCCCCAACGCCGCCCCGACGCCTGCTGAGGACGTCGCAGCAGCCTCGTCCGACCCGCCGGGCTCCCCGCGTCCCCAGGGACCCCCGGGCAGCCCCCTGCGTGCTGCCCCGCTCTCCTCCCCGCCTCACCACCGCGTCCTTGCCAGTCTGCAGGCAGCTGCCTGCAATCGAGCTGCTTTTTTCTGGGTAAACCTTTAGCTTTGGTTTGTTTTGTCCCCTCAGCTGGAGATACATTTGGCTCCGGCAGCGGCTCTGCCCCTCCCTGTTTGTGCTGGCTGGGGGGATCGCTCCCTCCCGGCCGCGTCCTTCAGGTGCCGGCGCTTCCCTGGAGCCACGGAGCCGGTGCCCGGTGCGCTCCGGAGCAGCTGGACCGAGCGCTGCCGGTCTCCTCTCGCTGCGGGCTCTGAACCGGGAGGTATTTGGGGCAATTGCCTTGCCGAGCTCGGGCCGTCCCTGTTGCAGTTTGGGCTTTGCCCTTTGCAGCCGAATGCTCGGCACAGACCTTCCCCGGGACGGGGACAGGATGGGACAGGACGGGACAGGAGGGACGGGGAGGCAGCGGCGCTCTCTGCTCCGTGCTCAGTCCTTTCTGCTGCGCGTCGCATGTCAGATGATAATTGCACCGAGTTTTCTCCCCTTCCAGTTTCACCACCCTCAGATGCACCGGTGCCACCGTGCCCTGGCCTAGCCGTGCGTGCCGTGTCCCTGTGCCATGTCCCTGTCTGCCCGCAGGTGCCTGGCCGGGGGCTAACCCCCACCGCAGCCGCCACGTTGGCCCCGGCGGGGAGCCTGGAGGTGTGGATGCCGGAGCGGCTCACCTTCAGCCTCTGGGACTACGGGGTCTTCGGGCTGATGCTGCTGATCTCCACCGGCATCGGGCTCTTCCACGGCCTCGCCAAAGGCGGCCAGAAGACCTCGGAGGATTTTTTCACGGGGGGACGACGGATGTCGGCACTGCCCGTGGGGCTCTCGCTCTCGGCCAGCTTCATGTCGGCCATCCAGGTGCTGGGGGTGCCGGCGGAGGCGTACCGGTACGGAGCCAAGTTCCTCTGGATGTGCGTGGGGCAGCTGCTGAACACGCTGCTCACCGCCCAGCTCTTCCTCCCTGTTTTCTACCGCCTGGGGCTCACCAGCACCTACGAGGTGGGCACAGGGGGACACATCCTGCCCCGGAGCAGCTCCTGGGGTGCCCCGGTGCTGGGACGGACCCAATGCACCCCCTTGTCCTTGTCCCCAGTATCTGGAGCGGCGGGTTAGCAGGAGCATCCGGCTGTGTGGGACCGTGCAGTACGTGGTGGCCACGGTGCGTGTCCGCGGTACACGGGTGGGATGGGGACGGTGGGGACATGGCACCCGGTGGGGCTTGGATCTGGCCGCGCTGACGCTGCCCTGGACCCCCGGGAAGCGTCCTCATTCCCGTGCTCGTGTTTTCCATGGCTCAAAGCAAATAGCGCCCGGCAGGAGCCTTGTTTTGAATGAAAACCCCAGTGTTTTTCCAGCGCCTGCACGCCGTGCTTTGGCGGCAGCGTCACACTTTGTCCCTGTCCCTGCCGGCACAGCCATCACCTGCCCGGTGCCCGCGGTGCTGGTGGGTTGGGGCGCTGACCCCCCTCTTCCCGCAGATGCTGTACACGGGGATCGTCATCTACGCCCCCGCCCTGATCCTCAACCAAGGTGCGGTGGGGAGGTGGGGGCTGCTCCCCGTCGCGTCCCTGTCCCTGCAGTGGGGACGTCTCAGCCCCGTCCCACCCCCGGCGTCGTTTGCACCCTGGGGCTCTGCTCAGCACCTTTCCGTCTCCTTCAGTGACCGGTCTGGACATCTGGGCGTCCCTGCTCTCCACCGGAGTCATCTGCACCTTCTACACCACCATAGTGAGGGCCGGAGCGGGGGGTCCCGGGGGTCCCCGGGGGTCCCCAGCGCTCACCTGCAGCTCCATCTGGTGCAGGGTGGAATGAAGGCTGTCATCTGGACGGACGTCTTCCAGGTCTTCGTGATGCTCTCCGGCTTCATCGCCATCATCATCCGGGGGGTGCTGCTGGTGGGGGGTCCCGCCAGGGTGCTGGCCATCGCCGCCAAAGGCTCCAGGGTGAACTTCATCGAGTGAGTGCCCGGACCCCGCTGTGTGCTGAGCCTGCTCCCCCTGCCCCGGGCTGCTGGGGGGCCGGTGCCGGCCCCGGCTCACCCGGCCACCCCGGCGGTGTGCCGCTGTGCCCAGCTTCAACCCGGACCCGCGGAGCCGGTACACGGTCTGGACCTTCCTGGTGGGCGGCACGCTGGTCTGGCTCTCCATGTACGGCGTCAACCAGGCCCAGGTCCAGCGCTACGTGGCCTGCAGGACCGAGAGGGAGGCCAAGCTGTGAGTCCCCGGGGCCGCGGGGATCGTCTGGATCTCGCTCCGTGTGGGATGGTGCATGGGGGCGAGGGGCTGCCCTGGGTGGGGTGGGTGGCTGCACGGCAGCCTGTGCCCCTCAGGGAGCCCAGTGCCTGCACCCCTGCCTGGTCCCTGCACCCTTGCACAGACCCTGCACCCCTGCACGGACCCGGCACCCCAGCAGGGACCTTGCACAGATCCTGCACCACTGCACAGCCCCTGCATGAACCCTGCACACTTGCATGGCCCTTGCACCCCTGCACAAACCCTGCACCCCTGCACGGCCCCTGCATGCTTGTATGGACCCTGCACTCTTGCACAGACCTTGCACCCCCGCATGGCCCCTGCACCCTTGCATGGACCCTACACAGCCCCTGCACCCTTGCACAGCCCCTTGCATGGACTTTGCACCCCTGCATGGCCCCTGCACCCTTGCATGGACCCTACACAGCCCCTGCACCCTTGCACAGCCCCTTGCATGGACCTTGCACCCCTGCACCCTTGCGTGGACCCTACACAGCCCCTGCACCCTTGCATGGCCCCTTGCACAGCCCCTGCAGCCCTGCACGGCCCCTGCACCCTTGCACGGCCCCTGCACCCCTGCTCAGGCAGGCATGCCCTGTGCTTGCAGGGCGCTGCTGGTGAATCAAGTGGGGCTCTTCTGCATCGTCTCCAGCGCGGTGGCCTGTGGCCTTGTGATGTTTGCGCTGTACAAGGACTGCGATCCCCTCCTCGCCGGCTACATCTCAGCCCCGGACCAGGTACCGGCCCCCGCTGGCTCTGCCCTCTCGAGCACCAAATTGAGGGCAGCGAGGTGGAAGGGCGAGCGGGTCGGAGGGGCCGGACCCCGGGTCCCTGTCCCAGCCCCGCTGCGGGGCCTGGGGTCCCCCGGGGTCCTGCCCCCCCGATGCAGCCGCCTCCTCCCGCAGTACATGCCCTATCTGGTCCTTGACATCTTCAAGACGTTCCCGGGGGTGCCGGGGCTGTTCCTGGCTTGTGCCTACAGCGGGACCCTCAGGTGAGGACGGGGCACCCCTCGCCCCAAGGGGACCCCAAACCTCCCCACAGAAGGGGGCTGCGCCCCACCCCCACCCCACAGGCTGCTGGCGTCGGGGCTGAGGGCTGCCGCCTGCCCGCGCCCCAGCACGGCCTCCACCAGCATCAACGCCATGGCGGCCGTCACCATCGAGGACCTCATCAAGCCCAGGCTGCCCACGCTGTCACCGCGGAGGCTGACCCTCATCTCCAAGGGGCTGTGTGAGTGGGGACGGGGGCCACGCCGACCCGCACCGCGCCGTCCCATGCCACCCCATCCCGTGCTGCACAGCGCTGTTTTGTGCCACGCCATGGTGCACCGCATGGTGCCGTGCTGTGCCGTGCCATCTCGTCCTGTGCCGCGCCATGCCGTGCTGCACTGCACCGTGCTGTGCCGCGCTGCACTGTGCTGTGCCGTGCTGCACTGAGCTGTGCCATGCTGCACCACGCTGTGCCATGCTGCACCGTGCTGTGCCATGCCGTGCTGCACTGCACCATGCTGTGCTGCGCTGCACCGTGCTGTGCTGCACTGAGCTGTGCCATGCTGCACCGTGCTGTGCCATGCCGTGCTGCACTGCACCGTGCTGTGCCATGCTGCACCATGCTGTGCCGTGCTGCACTGTGCCGTGCCGCAGTGCACCGTGCCATGCCATGCCATGCCGTGCCGTGCTGCACTGCACCGTGCCATGCTGCACTGCACCGTGCTGGGCCCTGCCGTGCTGCTGAGCCTTTCCCGTCTGCCCTGCAGCGCTCATCTACGGCACCTCCTGCATCATGGTGGCAGCTCTGGCCTCGCTGCTGGGCGGTGGCGTGCTGCAGGTGAGCCCTGGTGCGCTGGGCCGGATCCGGCACGGGGCTGAGCTTGCCCCGCTGCCCCCTCCACCCCTGCCCGCTGGCTCTGCCTGGCCGAGCGGGACCCGGCCACACGCCACTGGCTGCCGGAGAGCCCTCGAG